AACTATTTAAAAAGCTTTACTAAACCCAAAATAAGTCATATCATCAGCTTCCCCCTCTTCTGTAGGCCAATAACCTGGTCACTTAAGGAAATTAGGTTTGTTTGTCATGATTTGTTGTTGACAAATGCATGTTGGCTCTTTGTTACTTGTAACCTATTATCCTCTAGGTGTGTAGAAACTGATTGTTGAATAACTTGTTCCAGTAAAGTATCTTTCCAGGTGTCAAAGTTCAACAGACTCCTCTGTAATTCTCTAGGTGTCCTCTTGGTTCTCCTTTTTAAAGATAGGTGCTATGTTTGCCCTTCTCCAATACTCCTAGAGCAGTGGTCTCCAACCTTTTTACACTCAAAATCACTTTTTAAATGCCATCATCTACCCCATCCCTTTCTCAAGACCCTACCCCTTCCTTGAGGCCCTGCCCTCACTGTTCCCCTTCTCTCCATCCCCAGCCCTTATACACTCTCAGGGTACAGCTACACTACCACTTTTTTTCGATCCTTCTGTTGGAAGAGATTTTTCCAACATTTGACCTGTCTAGACTGGGCCAAATATCAGAAAACCCCCTTGTTCCTCGTGAAAAGAGGAATACAGGGGCTGCCAAAAGAGCGCGTTTGCCAGAAAAAACTTTCATTTAATCTGGCAGGGTTGTAAGAGAGAAATTGTAACACATTGAAAAACAACCACATAATAAGTAGAGTACTGCTAGATAACTAAGTAGACTTATAAGGTGGGTCGCTTTTAACTCAAGCATTGTCATTGTTCCAGCTGAGGAATACCATAGCAATTTGTAATTTTAATAGTGAGTTCCAAATGCTGGGTTTACTCATGAATTTTAACTGAATGACAAGTATTCCATAACCACCCTTAAAAGCCTGTTCAGAGCTTCGCTATCTTGATAGTTATTTTTTCCTAATATCTAACCTAAATCTCCCTTGCTGAAGATTAAGTCCATTACTTCTTGTCCTACCTTCAATGGATAAAAGAATAGTTGATCCCCATCCTCCGTATTAGGGATGTTACATTTCGTTTAATCACCTAATCTAAGTTAGTTCGAATTAGTGCTGTAGTGTAGACATACCCTAACTGTTCTGGGATTGCTTCAGATGGTTCCTTAAGGGTCCTAGGATGAATTTTACCAGGCTCTGCTGAGTTGAATACCTCAAACTTATCTAAATGGCTTTTGATCTGTGCTTTCCCTATTCTGGCTTTTGTTCCTTTCCCCTTGTTAATATTATGTGTAAGCTGTGATTAGATACTTCATACAGTTGCAGCAAAACAGACATTAAAAACCTTGGTCTTCTTGAGGTTCTGTGTTTAGCTCACTTTATTTCTCTTAAAAACCATGAGCAGTCCTGCGACACCTTAGAGACTAATACATATATTAGGTCATGAGCTTTCGTGGAGAGAATTGACTTATTTCTCTTGTTCAACACATGGAACAAGACATAGAAGCAGTTCCCTAATCCCTTTGTGTTGCCACAACCTCTCCTAAGTCCCTGTGCTGAATACCCCCAGCATGGGGAAGCCTGCAGTGGGTGCAGAGCATGTACAACTGGCTTCTAGGCCTCACTCCCCACATTTCCAAGTATAGGAGTCATTGTAGGATGTGGAGGGAAAGTATCCACTGTGATTTAACAATCCCAGTCTGATGTACAGTCTCAGTGAGACCATACCCATTGGAGCAAGTCGGAGCAGCCCGTAGTCTGTTCTGTTCTACCTCAGAAGTGGGACTGCGAGTTGGGGAGCTGTGATCATCGCCCTGTCAGCTATTTCTCTACATACCACTGGTTCTCCTGCACTCAGTGTGTTGGTTTGGAACAACTGACAGCTCGTATCCTCAAGAAAAGAAGTTGTAAACCAGTACCAGGCCTACTTGAATCCTAGGGAGGGGAAGGAGGGAAAAGGAAGAGGAGATCCAAAGGCCATCTCCTCAATCAAAGGAAGGGGCCAGAGTACCCAGAATACAGCCGGATGCAAGGATAACAAATGAAAATAGGGGAACAAAAGTGGAGTTTTTGAAGTATTGAGATCAAAAGTATTAGTATATGAACTGTCTTGTGGGACCAGTCAGAGGAGGAACACAGACTAAGTAGAGTATTTTAGGAGAAAGGGGAAAGAAATAAAGAATCAATGCATCTCAGTCTCACCACACGGAGCATCCCCACCTTTCCGGTATGACACAGCATTTCAGCAATTCTTCCTTGTTCTCCTCCTTGCTGTCTCATTGGTCTGGTGCAGTGGTTAGAACCCTGCACATCTGCAGTTAACCATTTTAGATCCACAGAGATCTGCGTCTGTGGATACATATCTTTGTTTATAATTTCTGAACTGCGGAATGGATGTGGATTCAGTTTTTTTACCTGTGCAGGGCTCTACATGATGCATGCGTTCTCAGATGGTCCGGCTGCAGTTTCAGGGGGTCCACCCATGGGGCTGAAGCCCACAGCCCCATGTGTCTGAGGACCCCTTGAAACCTGCTCTCAGTTCCCCAGGGGGCCACAGATGTCCTGTTGAGAACCACTGCTGTAGAAGGTGCAGATGAAGATACAGATCCATATAGAAGGTACCTGCAGATCAGCTCTAAATATGGTGACTTGGGTCTTACCCAGGTCTCCCTATAGTTCCCCCTCTTCCAGAGTATCAGTGCCTCAAACAAATAATATCCAACAACCTAGTGGCAATCAACACAATATCTTCCATCCCTCCTGAAAATCTTCATCTTCAGGGCAAAGCCCTCTTCAGCCATGCAGGACTTCCCCCTGAAAATCCTCAGCAGTACTCAGAAACCACACAAGAATACAAACTAGAGCAACTTCTAGTTAATTTAATTAAAGGTAATTTTATCAGGTAATTTAATTACACATAATCTTTACATTGCACAGTAGAGTCTAGTTTTCCAGGACATTGCAGGGTTTAAAGATGCTTGTATATTCTAGTGAAGATAAATAGTGGGGGGAAAAAACAAAAAGTTGTTTTAGATTTCTGCAGTAGGTTTTTAGTGCATCTTACGTTCCCCTAGTTCTCTTTCCTGCAAATCACCAACCTCCAGGACTGCCTTCCTGTAATCTTACTCCCTTTTCAAGTCTTCCCTGCCCTCTCATGCACTTATTCCACTCTTGTAGCTTCCCCACAATTCTCCCTTCCTTGAGCTTTTGTCAGACCCTTCCCATAGGGCAGGAACTCCAGATCTCCACTCTCATCGTTCTTCTCCCAGCTGAGCTCCTCAGTGAGCCTGATAGATCCTTCAGGTATAACAAGTCAGTGCTAATTAAAGCTCTCAGGCCATGTTTACCTTACAAAAAATTAAGTTGACCTAACTTGTATAGATACAACTGTCATGTAATTACATTGTGTGTGTGTGTGTGTGTGTCAGGGCTTTGTGTCAGTAGTGCGGGTCCTATCAGCATGTGTCTATTGTAGTCAGTGTGGGGCATTGTGGGAAGGCTCTAAAAAGCCAATAACGGCTGACATAAGCAACGCAGCGTTACTGATACTGTGTTAACCTAACTACATAGACCCCTTGACTTTACACTGCTCATGAAAGTGAGTTATTAAGTTGCCTTAGCAGTGCAGTTGCATTGGCAGGGGTGAAATGTAAATGTAAGCTTTTATAGTGAAATGTAAACTTTTATAGTTTGGTGCATGTAAGATGCCTTGTGTTGACCTAATTGTGTAGTACAGGCAGTCCCCGGGTTACGTACAAGATAGGGACTGTAGGTTTGTTCTTAAGTTGAATCTGTATGTAAGTCGGAACTGGCATCCAGATTCAGCCGCTGCTGAAACTGATCA